TTGATATTTCCTGTCTTGTGTACCATCTGGCTGCAATGAAAGCATTCCAGGGATTTGCACACCTTCTCAGTCCAGAAATCTTATGTTAAAACCTGCTTATACAGCTCTATAAATCTGTTAGATCTTTAATATCTTGACCTCTTCAGCAATACCTTCCTCTGCAGGATTTAGTTCCCTGATTTTGCTGACACTGAAGCTAGTACCAGTTTGGAAATCTCTTTCATCTATGTTGTAGCAGCCTGCTGTGGTATAAAGGATGAGGAAGACCCCAAGGCTATATAATTCTGTCATTAACCTCAATCCTTCCATGTTGCTGTATGTTTGTGCAACTTTTGATGACACTCAGATCGGGTTCTCCCTTTTCAGGACTTTTTAAAAGCATTATGGAAGTTAAACTTCAGAGCTACTCCTTGTAAAACCTTGATGAATAAATGTTCATAATAAAATTTCAACAAAGGCGCAATTTCAGTCCTCAGTGAAACATCTTCTGTAACAAACCATCAAAACAGAATAAAAGAATAAGAGGTATCTGCAGCATCAGACTATTTTTAACCAAAAATTATTGGACATGTTATTCTTCACATCGACTCCCCACAGTTTTTTTGACACTGTTTTTTATCCCGTTATTATCAAAAGCTGTTTCACCATAGGCATTTGCATGGTTATATGGTTGTGCACATTTGCTTTTTTGAGACACAGTGTTTCACTATGTGTCACATATAATTTATCACATAAACATGGCCCAAAAGCTGTATTACTAGGGCTTTAGTAAAATGCCAACACAACATAATAGAGCCCTGTCTTACAAAACCTTTGGGAGCAACAACTCATTGCTTCTGAAAGTGTTTTCAGGAGCAGCTCTAGCTATGGGTACCTGGATCAGTTGACCTCAGGATTTTGATCGTGCCTTTTTTTTTTCCCCTGTAACCTCCAGAGTGATGCAATTGTTATGAGAGACCTGAATGGTACCTGAAAGGAGCTCAAGCACAGTGAACATATCCAAAGTGGTGGTAATGCTTGATGGCAGCCTCTGAAGTTATCTAAGAAACTGATTTCTATGTAGTTCAGGGCCCTTTTGGAATAGATACCTTATTTTGCATGTACTCTGAGATGTAAACCAATACAAACTAAACTCTATATCATTTTTTTACCACTTCTCTCTTTATCTTAAGGTAAAATGCTGCAAGCTAAGACATGTGGGATAAAAGCTTTCTTGTGATGTTGCAATGGTGAGAAGAGAGTGACTAAATTAGACAATAAAAATTTTTTTACTGCCACCATTGGATGGTAAGCATTAAACCTTTGCTTTCTGTCAATTGCTTTCAAGTGGTGTCATACAGCCCCGTCTCCCCACAACATAACTACCAGAGTTTCCAGGCAGCCTTAAAAAAGAGCTGTGAAGTTGTAATTTCTTTGAAGTGGTATGGACTTATTTTTAAAATAGTTTTGAGCCCCCATTTGTATTTCAAAGTGTTGTTTTACTAGGTCAGTGATTTCCACCTCAGCAGGCTATCCAACCCATTTCTGCTGCCCCATGACTCGGTCAGCTCTAACTGCATAATTCCTGATCAGCATTTAACCAGACTGCTCCCAGCAGTCTCCAAAACGTGCTTCCTCTGGTTATTTACCTCATTCTTTGCTTCCCATGCTCCTAGGAGTGTCCTAGCTGATGTGTAGCCCAGGGTCATTTTTCTTACCCTGTGATACATATTGAAAAATATGTGTCACCTTATCAGCAGTTTTTCATGGTGTGTAAACCTGTGATGTCCCTAATAAGCCACCCCTTCTTCAAGAATAACACAACTAAATCCAGCCTTTCTTCAAAGACTGTATTTTCCAAGTTTCTTCCCTTTGTCATTGTTCTTCTCTATACTCTTTCCAAGTAGTTATGTCCTTCTTTATGTGGAGTCCCCCAGCTAGATACAGAGTTTAAGTTTTGGCTGTGCTGTAGCACAATGGTTCTTATGAGTCTTATTGGTCACCCTGTTGTTTATGCAGCCCAGTTTTTGCTCTTCACGTAGCTCTACAGCTTTGTTGACTCATGTTCAGCTTGTAGTCCCTTTCCTGCTAATGTGCTGCCTAGACAGTTGTTACTCAGTGTCTGCACACCACACACTTGTCCGTGTTGAAAAGTGTTTTATTTTGTTTTCATGATGTATTTCCTGTATGGCAATATTTCTTTGAGTTCTAACCTTGCCCTTCTTCCCAGCTTTGTGTCACTTAGTACAATACTTTTTTTAGTGCAATGCTTTATTCTATTATCAGGTCACACATGAAAATATTCCATTGTGTCAGACTCAGACTGAGTCCCTGTGAAATCCTGCTCACTGCATCTCTCTGACTTTGCAGATGATATGGTTTTTTAGAAACTTTTCCCTGCCCCAGAATCTTCATTTTGTCTTGACTATGCTTCCCTAGCCTATTTATGAGTGTTATATGAAGCATGGTGATATGGTTTGAAGCTGGCTCCCTGCCAAGTCTCCAAACCTTACCACCAGAAGTCCCCCTGCAACCTCAGGGAGAAGAGGGAGAAAAAAAAAAACTAAGAAAAAAACGAAATGAGAGAGAGACAACCAAAGTGAGATATATAAATATATTTACACTTATATACAATTTCACAAGGGAAAGGGAAGGGGGAAGGGAAAGGGAACAAAACTAAAATAAAATATATAGATATCCCAAGACCCAATATCCAACAACTAAAAAGTTAGCAAAGAAAAAACAGCTCACTACTCCCCTGGGACAACTGAGAGCCGCTCCGGAACGATCGCCGGCAACCTCTGTCTCCCAAGGTCGGCAAGGCCCAACCAGGCCTCGCTCCCCAACACGGCAGACTCAACAGCAGGGAACCTGCACCTCCAAACCGCTGGAAGGAAAGAGAGCGAAGGCCTCTCCTCCTCTCTTCTTATAATCTGGCTTACGTAAAAATCGTAGGGAATACTGGGTAAATCTGGACCCTTCCTTGGTTACAAACTGGTCACCAAGGATGGCCTAGCCCAAACCACCACACATGGTTAAGATATATGACACCTACTGCTTTTCCTTTGCCCACAAAGTCTATGATCATGGGAAATTAAATAACTTTGACAGACAACTAAGAGCAGAGAAAGGTATCTAGTAGTTGTGGTGAACAGTAATCAGTTAGACCTACAGAAGAACTATCTTGACTGGTATTTCAGATTGGAAATAAATTGAATTTCCAACAGTGCACCCCAACAATAAGCGTTTCACCAATTTTCAGCTCAGCAGCTGCAGACCACCCTCAGGGGAAGGCCAGTCAGACATAGAAGAGGTTTGGGTGAACACTCATATAGAAATATAGGGAGGTTGTGGCAGCCCATCTTAAGTTAGGCCAGGGTTTGCACTGTGAGAGATGTGGGTAAGTGCTCTGGCAGTCATATTTTTAACATTTGTAGATTTTATACATATGCATGAGCCAAACTGAAACCTCTTGATGTGTCTTAGATGCTGGTAGCTGTTGTGGCACAAACTGGTCATGAAATCCCAATCCTGAAAATCCAAGACTTGTTTACTGAATAGTAGGTAAGATATCTGTTTTTGAAAGGTTTTGTTGTTGGGAATTTTTGTAAAAAACAAGGAGCCCAGAAACATGACGCCTCTCTTCAAACATTTGATTATAACTGATGCTTAATTAGACAGGGAAAATGTTCCCAGGGCTTCACAAACCACAAGTTAAAATAAAAAATGGAGAGGCTGCATTCTTTGTTTTGAGGAAGTACTCCATACTTGAAACTACAATTGTTTCCTCACTCACATTACAAAAATCCATTATAACACATCTACAAAATATGGAAAACTGAATTTGTTTTGCCCTATATGAATAAGCAGCTTTCCTAAACTCACCTTTTCTATCAATTAAGAGAGGGCTAGGATTTCTTGGACCACCAAGGCCAGATGCTTTTATTACTACACTTCCCTTTCACAAGCACAGGATTGCTCCATCTTAAAAATTATCATATTGTTTTGCCTCCTGCTGCTCCTATGAATAGCGTGTTGCAAGATCTCCCTACTCTAATAGTTAGACACCTTTTACTCTCCAGCTTGACTTTATTCATGTATACTTTATACTCCATTTCTGTATTTTATCACAGAGCACAAGTTCATTTGTGAGGTCCCATATTACTTACATCTGATAGTGCATGCCTCTCTTCTCCTGGTTCCACTTCAGCCCTACCAGGAATGGATATTCAGTGAAGTAAACCAATGGGGAAAGCCACAAGGGTTGTACTGGGATCTTGCATGTACTGAATGTAACATTAACTGAGCAATGTCTGAGTCAGTGAAGCAAAGCATTCACCCTAGCACTGATTATCTTTCCCATCACTGTCATCTGGTTCAGCTGTCTCCCAGAAATTCATTCAGCTTGGTTAAAATTTCTGGGAAGGGAAGGTTTCCTCTGTTGCCTGTCCAAGTCCACAGCTCTTAGAGTGGAAAATAAGGACAAGTCACTTTTAGCAGATGGATAATAAAAGTTATCTTTATTTCTGGCTCTTTGAAATCTTTTCTTCTTGCACACAGGGTTCACGTGTGCTATGCCATCATAATCATTGTGTGTTAGCACTCTCCCATGCCTTTCCCATCTTAAATATAACTCCGTAGGTCAATAGGGAGAATCCATAAGTCTCTGCTAGCACTCCTCAAGACACCCTTCTCCAGGGCATTGAGCAGGGCATATGAGACCAGAGGAAGGCATGACCCAAAGGCAGAGGAAGTCTTTGAATGTTTCTAATGTGTTCTAATACCGCCCAAGCTGTTCAGCACAGTTCAGCTTGGCCCCTTAGGCCACTCTAACCTGGCAGGGTGATCTGGTGTGGGATCTCAGTGTAGTCTCCTGAGGTGCAGAAGGAGGTTACCAAGAAGAGGTCAACACCTTGGAGGCTTTCAAAGCTCAAGCAGACACAGCCTTATGCAACATGGTCTGAACTCAGCTCTGATCTTTCATGGACCAGAGACCTCTTAAGATCTCTTCCTGCCAGATGGACTCTGTGAGTCCATTACACAGAAGACACAGATAAGTGATCTAATCCATGACCAGCTCACAGCTAACATCCTTGCTGCATATAAATTGCCAAGTGTCAGCCACTAACAAGCCCTGCAATTGAGAGCTGGAAATGAAGGAAGGTAAATAATCGAGCATTGCAAAATACAGAAAGCAAGATGAAAGAGTCATGGTTACTTCAAAGTAGATACCAGGCATTGGAAAACTGAATCAAGCTGAAGGTCATGTAAAATAAGTTGGTCTCTGCTTTCACTTATTGAAACTATGCCTTCATTGCCCCCCACTGAGATTCTGGCAGGCATTGTTCCTGGACATCATCTATTGGAAAATTATTGATTCCTCTTTGACACAGCATCAGATCATCTTTGGAAATTAAGTTTCCTTATGTTTGGCAAGCACTTTGAATTAATAAGAAATGGAAACATCAGAATACAAGTGCTCACTACTCAATTTTATGACTGCGTTGCCCAAGTGACAGATCTGTGCAAGATTAGAGACCTGTTTATGCTGGCTATTTTGAGGCCTAGAGAAGCATTTTATTTCCTTGCAATACTATTGTTTTCTGCCAAATTGACCAACAGAATATTTCTAGATTCCAAGACTTCTCCAAAAAGTTCTTTGCACCCGTTATGTTGCAGGCAGGAAAGTTCAAAAATTACTAAACCAGTGTTGCCATTTCTGACCTCACTTTTTACATGGTCAGTTCAGAAGCTGGTAATTTATTTAACCATTTTGACATGATGGCATTTAAAATAAATTACTCCAGAATTATTCTGTCCTTGTATTTGGTCTTGCAGTCAGAAATCAAAGCCTAATGGTACCTATGAAGTGACCTTTGCTTAAACACACATCATGCTAGTAAAAAGACAATGCATGTCAATACAGCACAGTGCATTTGCAACACTCCTTCAGTTTGTTCCAAAACTCTCATGCTAATGCCTCTTCCAAGCAGAATGGGTGATCTCTTGTTCTGTATTTGTTTCATGCAATTCACCTGAGCAAATTCACGAGGCATAAATATTTATTGTGACTAGACTATTTCTCTCAAACCAAATGCAAATTTAAAAGTACAAAAGAACCAGAAAATGTGTTCCATTCCCAAATTAAACATCAGGCCATTGCATGTCTTTCCTGCCTCCAATAAAGGCCATAGATTATAATATTATGGAGATTTTAAGCCTTTCACATTCCTGCAAATGAATGCATGTTCATTTTTTACTACAATAAATTACCTCAAATTGCTGCATAAGTTGTATTAAAATATTTGTTTCAAAGTTCTTGTTTGGAAGGAAATTATCTTTATATGTTAATTTTTTTTCTGTTCATTTTACAGGTCTCAGTTCTTGCTCCTTCTCCTCCAAATGCCATTTGCATCCCTTATCCTAGCTCAGAAAACTGCTGGTTTCTGCTCAGTTACTACTAGTTGCCATGCAAGAGCATCATGCATCACACTGGGGATGGGCAATCTTTTTAAGGAGGATCTGGGAGCACATGGTTGCAGACACTGAAGGATTTTTTCTGTTTTGAGGTACTGGCCAAGAAGGCCCAATATAGGCAGCCCTTGCCTGGGTTTCCAGTCTGTACATGCCTCCCTAGGCACCTCAAGGCTGTAACTGTCGTGCTCATAGAGAATGGATTGAGCATGAAACCTAACAACAGGATACAAATGGTGGCATTGCAGGTCTTTTGCAAGCCTTGCTGAAAGTTTTTTTGAATATTTGATCTGGGGAAACTTCAACATTTAAAAGGCATTATCTTGTGAAAAACAATGGGTTTGTTACGGTTTCCTTCAAAGGCCTCAGTCCTTAAATTCACTTCATTGTCAGTTTGTTGCAAATCAGGCTTCCTCAACTATTACTCCATCAAAATCCTGCCAGAAGAAGCATCCTATTTCTCTTACTCAGGCCAAACGCTTTACTGCCCTAGTCTCAACTTCACCAGCCCCAGGCCTTTTCCAGACTAAGTCCCAAGCCCTCCTCCTGGGCCAGCACTTGGAGATCTCTCAAAATGTCTTGTATTCCTGAATTGTTTTGCACAAGCTACACACTGGCTTCTCTGGATGCTGGAGAGGACAAATCTGTCTCACAGCAAGCTTCTGATGCTTTAGCCTCACAGGGTCACCATCACAAAAAGAATATGAAGCTACTCCAGCACGGACAGCAAGTCCTGAGAAAATTTAGTTCTGCCGCAGCTGTGTGTTTAGCTCAGTCGACTTCTCTGATGTATATGTACCGTAGTGGCTGAGCAAACTTCTGGTGCTAATAGCCCCGTACCTTTCTGGAGCCTAATTTAGGAAGGCACCCACTGACCTTGGTCGTCCTGGGTACAGTGGCCTGTTCTGATCAGTAGCAAGCCAATGGTAATGGGCTCTTCGCCCAATTGCTCTTGCCACATGGTTGTTGCGATCACATCCTGTCTTTTCACTACAGCTGGGTTCCTACTTTGAAAACTCTGCTTTTCATTCTTCAAGCATTTATTACAAAATCAAATTATTAATCTCTGGTACTACTTCTTGATCTATAAAAGTCATGTCTACAAATTTTAGAAGTGTGATTGGAGATGGAGCATGTTTTCCCACTAAGGAAAATCCCATTGGGGTTTACTTATATACTCAAAGTAGCTTCAGAAATTTTTAGAGAATTTTACTTTTAAGGTAGAAAACATCTCCATAACTTGGCAGAACACACATCTCAAGGAAGGATTTAAAGGGAGATGATAGCGTTGCTGTAGATTTTTTTATGGACAGATGCAGAATGAAGAAAAGTCTCAGCCATAAATAACTCCCAGGCTTCATGTTCTAGTAGAAATATTGCCACTTTTTCAAGTAATTCAACATAAAAATTATACCTTGTCATTTATTCAGACAGTCTGATTTATAGGGACTGCTGTTGTTCTGATCATGCAATTGTTCTGATTGCATCCTTGTATTCTCCATATATTGCTCACAGTATCTCACTTTGTGGCAATACAACCTTGGTGTGTAGCACTTTTATTGGGCTTCCCCTCATTTATTGGGTAAAAGTTGATTAAACCCAATTAGTCAGGGTCACATTCTATACTTAATAGAAATTTGTTTAAATAAATTAACTATGAAGTTTGACAGTACAGCACATTACGTTTTCTTTCTATGTATCCACATATCAGTTAGATGAGAAATACACAAAATAGAAACAGAGTTGCTGCCACTTTGTCATCATCTTTTTTACCGTGAGTAAAAACTTTCAGAGATTATACAGTGTCTTGGAAGAACTAAGTGCGTTGATCCTACTTCGGTATGAGATTTTATGTATGATACTTCTTGCCAGACTATATAAGATAATAAGTACATATATTATGTATATAGTATAAAAGTATATGGATTGCAAGACTGTAATTAATTCATGGAAATCTTTTCTTTTTCACTTCTTCTTCCAAGAAGGTGGAGTACCCCTCTGTATACAATGAGAATTTCCACCCAGCTGTATTCCCAGTAGTCTGGAACTCATTCTTGTCATGTGCTGCCGAAGAAGATCATGTATTTGGTTTGTCTGGGAAGGCAGAGACTCTTAAGCACAGAGCCTGGAAGAGATGGGATGTTTTGGAATTTCTAGAAAAGGACAGTGGTTTGATTTGCATAGTTTTGCTGCTGACTGGTGGCACAAAATTTGGACAGCATCTGTTTTATTGCATCATCGTTACTGGACATCACGTGATATGATAAGACTGATCCACCCTGGAATGACTAATCGAGTGGGATGCTTGAAAAGGTTTTTTTCTTTTTTACAACCCTCAATTACAGAAACCACATTTTCCAGGGCAAAAAACAGTAACTTTTAAGCATGTGTGAATGTGTATGTGTGTTGTGCTTTTTGCTTTTTGGATTTTTTTTTTTTTTTAACAAAAAAGGTTCTCCTGCCCACTAAGGAATTTGGTCAGAGAGACTTTTTGTTTTTTAAACCTGTAGTGAATCAACATGAATCATCTAATTTTAGCCATCATCTTTATAGTTTGAGACAAAAAGTAAGACTTACTCCCTAGGCGAGGCAAAAATGTATTTCCTGGCTCATGAAGCTTGTCGCCCCATTTATTGTGAGATATACAGCCACGTTACTTTTCCCACTTTCAGCTATGCCTATTGGAATATGTTTGGTGCGTCAGCTAACCTTTAAATATTAAAAATGGAGAGTGGCTTTAACAACTTATGCCAAAATGGAAAGGTGTAAGGAAACCGCAGTCTGGAACACAAGAACTCAACGTTCCTCATGCTGAGGCCTCTCTGCATCTTTCAGCACTGAGACCATGGGTGGTTTCTAGAAATAATATTGTGTTTGTAGCTGTGCACTGCTAGAAAATGGTTTTCAGACCTACCTGTTTATGACAAAGCCCCAAGCAATAAGCAATGGTCTTTTTTCTCTTCTCCTGCTGAAATTGGCATGTTTAATCCCTCAGTGAGATCTATGTCGCATTTTGCCCCTCTACCTCTGCAGGATATATGTTCTACTGACCTCAGTAGGGCTTAACTATAGCATGCAGAAGATAGAGTGTGGGACAGCCACCATTCATTTTGAGTTGTTCAGGTGTATTTAGATGTCTTCAGGAGTTTTGTAAGAGTTTGAGACTGTAAGTTGACGTGCATCACAGTTGAGGACCTCTGTGTCAGTTTGTCATGGAGCAGATTGAAAAGACATCCTACTAGTCACCACAGTGCAGTAATAACTATCCTTTCAGCCTGGTTGTCTAGGCTAAGTAGAGCAGGCAAACAGTTGCTGACCCAGGTTTTGGACAGCTGAATTTGGAGGAGATTACTGTCTACCAGGCAGCCTATGGAAAACCCCCAATCTTCACAGAGATTGAGAGGTCAGACATCAGGCGTGGCAGGATCCCTGGTGCCTGACCATATCCATAAATAAGTTTGAGGCTTTACAAATCATCTTCATATGTGATACATATGACATTGTATGGCTGGGGTTGTTTTTGTTATTTCTTTCTCTTTGGTTATTTCTTTGTCTTCAACAAGGTTTAAATCTACTCAAAACCGGGGAGTGGGAAGTGGGATTTCTTGCATCTATCCAATACTGCTGCAAGAACATATTTCCATAGTAGTTATCAGCCTCTTGCAGGAGCTTCAAGACTTTTCCTACATGTTTTGGAAAACTAAACTTTTAGAAGTAATGTGGTGATAAACTCTATGTTAGCAACATGCTCAGTCTTTCTCTGCCTGAGCATACTGAGATGACAGAATGGGCCATTGGGGTCTAATATTTTACACTGAACAGGGTGAAGAAATGGCTTTCTTCCAGCTCAAGTTTATCTAAAATTCCTTCTAGACATACTTTTTAGGAAGTGGTCTTGGACATGAAAACAGCAATCTCACAGACATCTTCAGGGATGAAACATCCTTTCTATAATTTTTTAACCTAGTGGCACACTTTCTTGGTAGCTGTAGAGTGGGACAACATATCTTCTGCAGATCTCTTATGGTGCCCAAGTTACTTTAAATGAGTACAAAAGACCTCCCACCTCTCTGAAAACCTCATGCTTTAGGTATCCCTGGAGGACAGGTCTGCAGCTGGAGCTCTAGGGATGCCAAAATACAAGAATATTCCTTCAGGCAAATTGTGGGTAAATAAAAAGCCTGTGAAATGCTAGAGGAGAGTTGGGAAAAGCACAGCTAAGGCCTCCAGGGCTTATATTCCTGTCAGGTATACTCTCTAAAACAGTGGAGGCAGACTGTGGTTTGTAGCTTGTAGTCAACTGGTGGATTTGAGCTGCCTTCAGGGCCTCCACAGGCTGTCAAAAGAAAACAAATGGTTGCTGCTGTGGCTGCAGCCCAGGAAATCCCTTGGGCCATTGGTCACAGTCTTCACACCCCGAGCTTCAAACTCAGCAACAAAACAAAACACTGCAAGAAGCTTCTCAAGACATCAACTTCCAGCCCAGAGAGCTGAAGGGAGACAGGTCCTGTAAAAGCATCCAAACAGGTTATGGGAGAGATCCTGGCCTGCTGTAAAGGTAACAGTCTGTCCACAAAAACCACTGGTATTTTAGGGAGATTTCCTGCTCACTACAACAACTCCTTTGGATCCACAAAGCCAGGGCTGACTGGGAGCACAGCAAATCCTGGTCACCCTTCACCAACTCCCACTCTGCATGAATCGTCTTCCCAAGGGACATCTGAAACAAAAAGTTGGGGATCTAAAGAGAACAGTTATGAATATGTCTCAAACTTTTGCTGCTTTATTGAAAAGGACTAGCCTCTGGGAAAATGACCAAAGACTTCCTCTAAAATAATCTGCAGAAAAAGCCCAGGATATTTAGCAAAATCTTCACCCTCCCTTCTTCAGTTTCTTAGCTAGAAACCATTATGTAGCTGAGAGTATAGCTGGAAGGTTGTAAAGAATTCAGGGAGTACTCTGTCACCCTTCTTCTTGCTGCCTAAACCTGCTAAGTGATCTGACTTCAGAGACCTTGGAGGATTAGTCAAGGTTTAAGGACAACTCAAAAGACTGTGCCATGCCTTAGCACTCTGCCTTGATGGGCTGAGCAAGTAAAATGCCTGCTACCAGGGCTGCCTCCAGCATACGCGGCTGCTGCCCTCTCCCTCTGCTCCTGCTGACACTGATGCTCTTCAGGTCTCAACAGAGCTTATAGGAAGTGCCCTGGGCTGCACTCTTGGGGACTATTTGCTCCCTATTAGCAGCTATGACAGCAGTTCCCCATCTCCTCTCGGAGCAGAACAATATGGATTACATCTTAAGGGCTGCTCACAAATGTATCAACTACAGCTTTTGGTCTTTCTATTCTTTAGGACACCAAAATAGATTTAAAAAAAGAAATTTGAAAAATTAC